CTATCCATACCCATAAGCTATTTTCTGTCTTTTTTAAAGAGATACATATGCTCCTTTGCTATATTCTGTCTTGCAGGCTGCACAAGGCTTTACATCATTTGATAAGGCAAATTAGGCCTTAGTGCTTCAGCAGCTTCCTTGCGATACCTTTACAAATGGAAAATTCTTTACAATTTCAAAGTCTAAGAAACTCCTAATGAGCAAAATGAAAATTATAAATTATGATAAAAATGCAACTTGACACTGTAGTTCTTAAAGAACAGGTTAGCATTTTATTTCTCTATTACTGACAGTCAAATTCATAAGGCATGAAAAGATAATAGAACAATCAAAATAGCACACAAACACAACTCAAAAGAACATTTAACCATTACAACTGTTCTCTGTCAAATACATAAAGGTAAACAAATATTTTATATAAGTTATGCTTAACAATCTGTATACACTGTAAACCAATTGTTAAAATTAACACTAAGATGCTAGTGCAAGCAGTGGTGTACAAAAGTGCAAATAAGGTTAGTGATGAACAACTTATCACTGACTTACCCCTCCAACACAGTCTGCATTCAGCAAAATACTGAAGGCCTCATCCTGGAAACACTGTATCACTTTTAGAGCAGTGTAACGACCTTCATCCTGAGTGCTCTTGCCGGTGTGGACCTTCATCCTGAGTGCTCTTGCCGGTGTGGACCTTCATCCTGAGTGCTCTTGCCTCGGTGTGGCAGTGGATTAGGAGTCAGTTCAGAGCAGCACCAGGGAACACCGACATCCACAGGAAGTTGGCTGTTCTAAAGGGAATCAGCTTACTGGAAACAATTCTGAAGGAAATCTGTATGCCAAAAAGTATAGAATCTTTACCTACTCCTACCACAGAGCATTTAAACCTAAAATGAAACCTGGTCCCCAGCTTACAATGCAAGCTGAAGAACACACTCACCTCATCGCTGTTCCCCCGAATAATCCCCATTTCTGTCCTAAAGCCCATTTGGATAGAGGTAACTCTGAAACGGTGTTCGCTTTGGGTAACTTTCATTATTTTGAATTCTAGTTAAAAGCATGGTCAGAGCCCTGAACAATAAAGCAACACCATTAAACATATCAGCTATTTAATATTCTAAATTATTAAGAGAAAAATGTGTTTGCTCACAACTGTACCTTTCATAGTCTAGATTCCCTTCAGACTGAGGGATCTTTTTACCCAGGAACCGTGTGGGGGTGTTTGAAGGGGCGTGGCTGTAGGGTCTGCATTGAAACAACTCAGTTTTAATAAAATCCCCAACCCCTTACACAGAGGCAGTCACGTTCAAGAGCTTGCTCAACTTTATTGTTGCTAAAAAGTACTAACTTGCATTTTAAAAGAAAGAGCAATAATAGAAACAAGCAGGAACACATCAATATGTACCTTTGAGAATCTAGTGCTTGATTGAAGCTATACCATTTTCTGAACTTTCATATTTATAGCAAAAGCTCTGGTGTTTATATTAATAATAATAATAATCACTCACTCCAATCAGGTCAGTTCCAACTCATAGTGACCCTATATTAATGTAGGCTACCTTTAATTCCCTATCAAAGTTGCATTAAATAATTTAAATGTTAATCTTTTAAAAATGTTTTCTTGAAGCTTCCTCAATTTTTTAAGCTGAGTTAATTTATTGAGATCCTATTTGAGGCCGTATATAAGAAAACAATGGGGGGGAAGAAGAATCATACATGGTCACATTAGTAGCAATTCTGTCCCTCTCTCCCTCCAACATAATAAGAATGGCAACCTACTGAATCAAATGCTGAGCCGCTCCAGCCAGGCCCTGAGGCTACCAAGTGCACTGAGGTTCCCATCCTTAGGAGTTACACGAAGGCCACCTTTCTCTGTTTCTTTGTAAAGAGGTCATGTCATCATAAGCAAGAGACATCACTCAATACAGGAATAAAACTAGGTCTGTTTGAGAAAATGGTTTGGAAAGCAAACCACAAAGAAGTAGATAGTGTCCCACAAAGGGAAAGAGAGAGAACAGCAAATAGGAGAAGTCCATTAGCCATTCCTTGGCATAAGACCCTAAAGTACTAGATAAAGTCTGGTTTAACACACGTTTGCTCTTTGGTGGCTGTCCTGTCCCATTTATTTGAAATAAGACCACAAGATTAAGCAAATTAGATCACAGGACACAGTTACATTTCTGATACATTTCTTCATTCTTCTTTATCTGAAAACAAAACCGTGCATCTGTATTCCACCTGGCAACCCTAGTTACGAATTATCTATGTAGTTATAGATGCAATGCACCATGAACTTTCTGATAGATTTTCTACATGATCTACACAATATTCCCTAAATACCCTGAACACAGGGTATTTCTGAGAGACTTCCCTCTCATATGAGCAGTTCCTAAGATCAGGTCAAACTTGATTTGGCCACAAATCCTTACACACGCCATGTCACACACCAAATCCCTAACAGGTCTGAAATTTCAGTGAGTCACACTCCAAGGACAGCGGTTCAGTAAACGCAAGCCTTCCCTCTGAAACGGTCCCATCACGTGAACTGGAAGTCTACTACTTTTATTTTGAGACTTTTGAATAGGATAGAGCAAGTAATTTTGTATCGCACCTCTCACCCTATTTTAATGGATTACACACTCCAGAGCACTCCAGAGACGTCTGAGGCAGGTGAAAACTAAGGACACAGTGTTCTCTGCGTCCCACACCACACTGTCCATGCTTTCAGCCACAGAGCACAGAAGCTTAGATCTCAGAAGGCAATAGCTGAGTTCACTATCTTTGGCACTCATACAAAGAACTGGTTCAACAAAGCCAACAGGGAAGCACCCACCCCACCCCCATCATTTAGGAAATATGTAGTTATAAAATGTCCATTCTAAATATTTACTGAGATAGAAACTGGAATCAATGAATATAACCAGTTATGACCTAAAAGTTTAACTAATGGCACTCATATGAAATACCTGTGGAATAAGAATGTCCTTACAAAGCAAAACAAAAAAGAGCACCCCAAAGTGAGCTGAGACTTTGTGGTTAGATTTGGGAATTAACACTTTTAAAACTGCAATAAACACTCTTTGAACACTGCCCAACTAATGGAATCCAATCTTAACTTACATGTAAATGTTTTCAAACAAAACATAGTGTTAGTGTCCTAACACTTAACATTTACCCAGGAAGTAGTCTATAAGCGCGCGCACACAGTGTGTCTGTTTTTCAGTGTGCTGCTATTGTTTTTTACTGTGCTTTTCCTGAAGGGTAGTGACCCAGTGTATGTGCCGTGAAGGGATTCTCAGCACTCGAGGGCTGAAGGCCCAGTAGCTGACAAGCGCAGCAGACCCACCCCACTAAAGCTGTGAGGAAAGAGGGTTGTACCATTTCATTTCTAGAAGTCCAGGCCATAAGACTCTCGTATCATTTGGGAAAACACCCACAGTCGTGCTGTGACTGTAGTATGCGCCTCTGCACCACCACCACCACCACCACCACCCCTGCCCCGGTCAGGCTAGAATGAGAACGCTGGAGTAAGATCATTTGTAGCAGGAAATATTTCTCCTCGACCAAGGGCCTGCCTCAAGAGCCAGTTCCCTCGAGGCCCTGGAGACAGACGCCATCCCCATGAGGCGGCGTTTCAGTTAGTCAGACTTTGGAGGCCGTCATTTAGGCTTAACCGAGGGGCGGATATTCCAGTTCCTACTTTTCCCTTGGTGTGACTTCGTTCTAGGCAGGTAGAGGGGGGGAAAAGGCAATGTCGCTGAAACCAAATGTTCTGAAGAAAGGCCCGTCAGTGTAGCTCCTGGGATGAAACCATTCCTTCTAGTCACAGTCCTTGGTCTTTGTCTGACTCGGGGGCTATACTGCCAATGACAACGCCACAAATGCTCTGACTGGGAGAAAACCCACAGAAAACATGACTTTTGCTATTAAAAGTTATTCACAGGATTGGCTAAACACAATATAAAATATTTGGATTATAACCAAGAGAGCAATCACTAGTTGGAGACTTTCAAAACATGTGTATGGCACTTACCTTTCATCTTATCTTACTCATTGTGGGGTCTCAGACATGGAAGAAAGAATTCAGGGGGAGTTCACACCCTCAGAGAATTGTAATACTTCAGAATAACTAAAACTTTGGTTCCCTGGACTATCGGTGAGGCAGCATTACATCTAAAATAAAAAGCCTTTTTGCCACAAAGTAAGAACTAGGTGATAGCAACTAAAGAAGACGAAAACAAAGAACAAGCATTCATTTTCTTCCTACCAAGAACTACCCCCACACCTCGGTGACAACTGAGCAGGCTGTATTTGTCTGTGTCTCTCAGAACAGGGCGGCCTCCACAATGACACTGCACTCAAAGTTCTGGCTTGCTGCTTGTCCTGGGGAGTGCCACTTACGATGGTGCCTACCAAATGACTTTTGGTGACGATACATAGATTTCCAAACCAGGTACCAGGGCAAGTGAAGCATTGCTGAATTAGACCACTGAGACGAAACTATAAAAACTCTTAACTCACTGCCACGCGGTAGATTCTAACTCACAGTGAGGCTGAAGGACACAGTAGAACTGCCCCTTTAGGTTTCTGAGGCTGAAATCTCTAGGGGAGCAGACAGCCTCATCTTTTCCCCCTGGTAGGTTTGAATAGATAACATTGTAGTTAGCAGCCCAGTGTGTGAACCAGTACACCATGAGGGCCTACCAAACCAAGAATCAACATTGTGCGGCACCAGGGGCATTTCATTTCTCAAAAGAACAAGGACATGGACCCCATCAGCATGGAACAGCAGCCTTACTGATGAAAGCACACATGATTCTGCGATAATGGGGCAGCAGTTGCAACCAACCACAACAGTGCTCCTGGTCAATGCAAGGGCCACTAAAGGCTTAAACGTTGTTCTACATGCTCAGAAGCAATCTTCTTTCTCACGAGCACTTTGATAGAAGAAGACTCCAATGTTCAGAGTCCACCAGCTAGATAAGACACATTAAAATGAAACGTTTGCCAAACATTAGAGTTTGTTTTATTGCATGACATTTGCATAAGAAAAATGATTGAAATTGTAAGGCATCATGCAACCATCGATAAGTTAATTATTATTATTAACTGTATACTTAAGATAGATGGACATATAATTTAAATTTTTAAATGCATTCAAAAAAAATACATAAAAAATTTAACATGATATGAGCTTTTCAATATGGTTTACAGTTGTACTTTCATGGTGTTAGAAAGTGCCTCTTTTACAAATGGTGCAGCTGGAGACACATGTCGGATTATAAACGGTAGAAACTGATTATTTTCATGGAATTAGAAAGCTAACATTGTGATATTCAAACTGATTTCAATCAGTTTTCAATTTTCACTCAAATTGATAAAATATTAATAATCTAAAAAACATCTGTATTATAACCAACAAAAGTCTATTTAATTCAAGTTATATATGCTGGGTGATCAAATCTCTGAGTAGGCCCGAGTGGAGAGACCTGGAACCCCTGTGGGTGGGTATTAATCGATGTACTGTGCCATCCAGCGGAAGCCTTCTCCATAGCCTTGTCTTTTGAGCACACTGCACATGAAGACTTCCAAGGGTCTGGCATTCAGTTCTTTCAGAGATACACTGCCCTAGAAGAAAAGGCAGACATTAGGCTGGGAGACCCTTTTACAAGACAAGAGCTCCACCCCCAGAACTGCAGGCTAGACATCCAGAACAAAGGACAACTACGAGGCAGCTGTGGTGTCCAAGAAGCCTCCTCTGTCAGTCTCCCTTAGTGCCCTAAGGGAGAGCCACTCAGTGAGAAAGAGGAGACCGTTTGTGAGATGATGAGAATGAAAAACAATCTGATTTACACCACATGTTTTGGTCAGAGATCCTACAGATTCCTGATCAAAAGGTGAAAAATACAGAACCGAATTTCATATTCTGAAGGAATCTAAACTTTCTGGAGCCACGTATACTAAAGATGAACCCCTGACATGATTTCCCAACTTTAAACCTTAAAATAAAAATATCCCAAGTCGTCTTTAAATCAGGCAACAGTTCAGGTTAGTAGGTAAAGAATGTTTGCAAAAAAAAAAAAAAATTTAAACAAAGAATGTTTGGCCTGAATCGTGTGCTCTTTTAAGAACTTTGAAGGCAAACTGACAACAGCAACTCAAAAGATGAGATATATGTAAATCAAAGGAAAATGTTTATGTAAAGCAAATAAATTTTTAACGGGATTCTTCCACTACTTAGCTGGGAGTTTTCAATACTGAAAGTCACTTCACAGCGCATCCCTTTAAAAATGCACAAGTGAACACAAATAGTGCTGGGGCTGGGGTCTTAAAAGTTTTCAAGAGCCTGTCTCCAGGGCACAACAACGTCTATTTGCTTGGAGCAACCTGAGGAGGAGAGCCAGGTATAAAAGGAGGACATGGCATGTGTGCTACCTGCTTCCATGAACAAGTCCTCCTTTGCCATGAGTCCAGAACTGAATGGTGCCCGGCTAGCAACACAGAACTTAAAAAAAATAAACAAACAACATTTTATTGTAAAGGTTTAAACACTGAGCATTTTGCTAAACGATTCCTTAGAAGAATCCTGATCAAAAGGGGGGGAAATGCAGAAGAGAATTTCATCTTCTCATGGAATCACACTTCATGGAGGCATGAAGGTTGAATAAATCTCTGATGGAATGAAACTATTTATAGACCTTAAACCAAAATATACCCTGAAATCTTAAAACCGAATAATAATTTAGTTTAACTAGTACGCTTTGCAGAGCTGAGATTTACGCTTGAACAATAAGCTCTTTTAAGACTAGGTGAGAACCTTAGGGGGCAGTGGATTTAAGTTAAGGGAGAAGGAACAACTTGGAAAGAGAGGGTGAGAATGGTCATAAAAAAGTATTCGAAATTTATCAATGTCACTAAATGGTGTATGTTGAAACTTAAATTGGTTTATGTTTTGCTGTGCATATTCTCAACAACAAAATAAATTCTTAAAACACTGAAACTTATTCCATATCTCTCAGGATGAGGTATTATAATCAAGTTAAAGTTTTCCAAGTTAAAATTAAAAAAGCAAAAATAATGTGCCCGAGTTATAAAATGCATAGTTCAAACCCCACAAAATCCTCCTATGTCCATCTTTATGTCTTATCGTCCATAATACACTCAGGACCTCAGTACTGAACTGCAGAGTTCACACAACTTTTGGCATGTTTACTCAATGATCTGATAGCTAATTCTGGACACTTTGCATAAATAAAACTTTGAAAGCTTGAGTTCCCCATCAACACTATCCTCGGCATAACTAAGCCTGGAGTACTTTGCTATCATGCTGACGAGACTGCACACGGTGATCGAAGTGAAGAAACAAAGACACTACACAAAACACACAATGGTACAAATGCCAGCTTTTCTTCTGCTTCTTGACAGTCTTTCTTTAAGAAACAAAAAGATGATGGGCTTATGTAGTTGGAACCATACTAATTTAAGAACATACTTGTAACAACAACAAAATGGAGTCTCAGAAGCCCTAGAAAGCAGTACGGCTGACCTAAGAGGTTGCTATTAGTTGGAATCAACTTGATGGCAGTGTGGAAAATATTTTTTAAAGATAACAGAATTTTTCCATGAATCTTTTTCAGTCGCCTCATAAAACAAATTGCTTTCCATTGGCGCTTTTCGGTAACACTCCCATTAGCAAGTATCTTTTTCTTCTGTCAAGAGGAGCAGTTTAAAAAAAATAATTAGGGGTCTAACTTACAATAAAGATGTGTTGTGATCCTTTCTGTGCTAGCATAGCACTAAAATATATAAAGAAAATATTTTTAAAAACAAAGTATTGCAAAGCCGATTATGGCATATGTAAGTTAAAATGTAATACCTAATCATGTGATCTCCCTTTGACCCATTTTAAAGTTGTTCCAGTTTTTGATATTTTCTGCTTTCTTTTAGATTGAGGGGTTTCGATGCTTTGTCTAGTCAATGTCATTGGGGTTTTTTTTTGCTTGGTTGCTTCCTTTTGTGTTTCCTATGATTTTCTGTGTATATAATGCAGGATAGGTAAATCTATAGAGACAGTACCCGGATTAAATATTACCAAGGGGCTTTTAAAGACTTGATGGTAAACAAGCAGCCACCTAGCTGAGAAGCAACAAAGCCCACATGGAAGAAGCACACCAGCCTGTGTGATCACGAGGTGCTGAAGGAATCTGTTATCAGGCATCAAAGAACAAAAAAACCATCATTGTGAATGAGGGAGAATGTGGAGTGGAGACCCAAAGTCCATCAGTAGGCAACTGGACATCCCCTAGGCAACTGGACATCCCCTTATGGAAGGGTCACGGGGAGGAGATGTGTCAGTCAGGGTGCAGTGTAGCAATAATGAAACATACAACTTTCCTCTAGTTCCTAAATGCTTCCTCCCCACCCACTATCATGATCCCAATTCTATCTTACAAATCTGGCTAGACAAGAGGATGTACACTGGTACAGATAAGAACTGGAAACAGGAAATCCAGGACATATGATCCCTTCAGGATCAGTGGTGAGAGTAGCAATACTGGGAGGGGGGAGGGGGGTAGAAAGGGAGAACCAATTACAGGGATCTACATATAACCTCCTCCCTGGGGGACAAAAGAAAAGTGGGTGAAGGGAGACATGGGACAGTGTAAGATATGACAAAATAATAATTTATAAATTATCAAGGGTTCATGAGGGAGGGGAAAAAATGAGCACCTGATGCCAGGGGCGTAAGTGGAGAGCAAATATTTTGAGAATGATGAGGGCAACAAAAGTACAAATGTGCTTTACACAATTGATGTATGTACGGATTGTGATAAGAGTTGTATGAGCCCCAATATGATTTAAATAAATAAATATTACCTAGAGGCATGGCAGGGGAGGATGGTGGGTGGGGGTGGGGAGAAGGGATGGGGAGCTAATAACAATGAGAACGAAAAGCAAATGTCCTGATATTGATTGTGGTGATGGCTACACAATTCTTAATATGATTTAATGATTAAATTATATGATTTGTGAAGTATATGCTAATAAAACTGTTTTTTAAAAATACAAATGAACTATTGACAAGTATACAGCGACAATATGCCTTTCCCATTAGTGAATAGAATCAAGCAGGAAAAAGATAAAGATATGAATGTGCAGATAATTCCAAAAGCTGTACTATACAGTGAAAAAATTAATCCTTGTCAATTTTTTTTTTTACCTTTCCTGTTGTCTGACCATATAAACCAAACATCTCTCGTAACCTCTCTTCACTGATAGCTTCAGGTCTGTCGATCTTATTTCCAAGGATCAAGATAGGCACATTAGCAATGGTTTCATCTGTCATTAGTGACTGAAAAAGAAAACATAAAAAATTAGTATGAAATCTCTGAAAGGCTGATTCTGACAAGACACCAACATAGTCGAGGACACAATTCTTGACCATGTCATGGCAACTTTGCCAATTTTGTGTGGCGAAGCTCCCCACAGTTGGGAGGGATATGGATCCATAAATCCATTGCTTCTGTCTTCCCAAGGCTGCTTCTGTAAACGGTCACTCAGTGAAGCGGGAGGTACAGTGAGCAGGGCCAGTGCCTGGGCAGCAGGCAGACTTCAGGTTCTGCGACTTCGGAGGGGCTGCCCTCACTGCACTTCAAAGAGAACTGAGAAGGGGGCACCTACCTTACACGGCTGACCTGATGACTAAGCAAGGTAACAGATGCACAGTGCCTGACACAATTAGGAACTCAGGAATTCCCTGGCCACAGAACCCACCTGGCCGATCCCACACAAACATGTTGGCCTGCTCCTAGCAGGGGAATGCTCAGGTCGAGCTGCCGTCAAATGACAGACTCATTTTCACAGTGGCCCAGCTCTAGTGCTGCCTTGTGTGCTGCTCTGGAGACCTTTTAGGATGCACCTGGCCTGGACAAGCTGCTCACTCCCGGGAGTGGTGACAAAAATGGTGTGTCGTACAGGTTCTTGCCAATGGTGAAAAAACTTACACCCGTGGATGACTAGGGACTCACACCAACCCACTCCAGGAATGTACAGGCAATCTGTACAAGGGCACAACCTGCACAGGGTGAGCTCCTTAAAAGTTCAAGAAGGAAGTCTGTTTAGCACTTCCTCAATAGTTACAATGATTCCAAGTGACTCCCTTAAGAGTCTAAGTAATCACTACTTAAACGAATTAAGTAGACTCACCACATTGAGTTACATCATAGTCTGCAGAAAAAGCTCCGCTCTGACACCTACATCTCCAACCTATTTCCTCAGGCTTAGCAGGGTGACTGAACTAAGTTTACTTTTAGTTTTTTGACTTACATCAAGTTCTTCTTTTGATTCTAACAGTCTTTCATGGTCTGCACAATCCACCAGAAATACAATGCCATTGATAGCAGGAAGGTAGTTTTTCCACACTCTTCGAGCTAACAAAAACAATCAGGAGTTAGATTTTCTTGGCTGGTCAAACCTAACATGTGTTTGATGGAACAGCCCAACAAGATAACAAGCACAGTATCCCTTAACTGCTCTACATTACTATATACTCAAGTTAATCTTTTACCCAAAGGTACCAGAATCTTTCCAGAAGATCAGAAGGAAAACATATCAGGCTTTCTTTCATTGATTGTGGTGATTGCACAATTCTTCTTAATATGACTGAACAATTAAATTGTATGATATGTGAAGTATATGTCAATAAAAATATTTTTAGAAATACAAATGAACTACGGATAAGCATGCCATGAGAATATGCCTTCCCCACTAGTGGACAGAATGAAGCAGGCAAAGGTAGAGATGGGGAATGTCTTCCCTGATTTTCCTATATAAGAAGTAAAATTAAAATTGCTACCTTTGGACACTCATGTACAGTAAGCTCACGGGCGGGCGGCTACCACACAAGCTAAGAGCTGTTATTGTTTGTTGCCTTCGAGCCCCTCTGGCTCACGGTGAGCGTATGTACTGAGCACAACTGCTCCACAGGGTTTTCAAGGCTGGGACCCACCTTTCAGGAAGCACTGCCAGGTGCACCGTGGGAACTTAAGATATGAAGAGCTAAGGCTCTCTGCATGTGTGTGTGTGGGAGAGAAGTGTTCAGTGTTTTGTTTTTCACATTTCTAGTTTATTCGTTTTTTTAGTCAGTGACAAATTTGGAGTCAGTGGCCAAAGGAAACTATTATTAGGTACATGCTTGTTATGTTTAACAAAAGCAAACTGTTCTCAAAACAGAAAACAAGCTCCAATATTAATAACTAACTAAGTGTATGAAACACTAGGGGATTTTTCCCATGGCACGCTTTCTTAAAGGTAAAACCATTTAGAGGATACCCCAGGAAAAGATAACTTTTTCCTGTGACTTGAGTTTTATGACACACCTTGAAATATAGTAATACAGTATAATTCTAGTGATAAAGTCTAAGACAAATTCCATTAGGTTCCAATTATTTTTAATCACTATGTGTGTGTATGTGTATTCAAACAATTCTTATGGATCAAATGCATCGGCTTTCACTAGCCACAACCATTTATAATCTTTTCAACAACTACGGATCCTATCAGGTTTTTAGAATGCTCAACAACTCTGCAATACTCATTCGTTGTCCCTTACACTGCCAAGTGCTTTGGGAGATAAAGAAGATGAGTGGGACTTAAAGATAAGGAGGGTTGTAGTCCTAGAAAGCTGTGTAAAGGAGTCTTTCAAAATTGTTCTACACATGTCCACAAGTGTGCTGCATTCCAGGAAATCCAGTTGAGAGCACTGCTTAGGAGTGTCTTCCCCGGGGAGGTGGCAGCACTTACACTGGGCTCTTATGGAAGTACTCACGTGCACACAGGGGTGAGATCCGCAAAAGCAGAGGTGGGAGAACACCAAGGTTTGGTTTGGTTGTACAAAAGAATAGGAGGGGTAGGGAAGTGAAGACTACAACAGTAAGCTGGAGCCAGTGCATAGAGACCTTAAATGCCAAGCAAATTTGGTCTTTATTTTGCAGGCAATGAGTGAGCCATTGAAGTTTGGTTTTGAAAATGGTGTTTTGTTTGTTTATTTATCAAAATCCTTTTATTGGGGGCTCTTACAGCTCTTATAACAATCCACACATCAATTGTATCAAGCACGTTTGTACAAATGTTGCCACCATCATTTCCAAAGCATTTTCTTTCTACTCGAGTCCTTGGTATCAGCTCCTCTTTTTCCCCCCCCCCCTTAACCCCCCAACCCAAGAAACCTGGAAAAATTAAAAAGCAATATTTTTTCATATTTTACACCGTCCATTATTTCCCTTCACCCACATTTCTGTTGTTTGTCCCCCTGGGGTAGGGGTGTACACCGATCATTGCGATGTTCCCCCTTTGTTCCCCCACCTTACAGCTCTTATAATATTCCATACATCAACTGTATCAAGCATATTTGTATATATGTTCCCATCACCATTTTCTAAACATTTACTTTTTTTGTTGTTGTTTTTTGATTTTTTTAAAAACATTTTATCGAGGACTCTTACAGCTCTTGTATCAATCCATACATCAATTGTATCAAGCACATTTGTACACATGTTGCCATCATTATTTTCTAGACATTTATTTTCTATTGAGCCTTTGGTATCAGCTCCTCTCCCCCCCCCCACCCTCGTGGTCCCTTTATTAATTATAAATTATTATTTTCATATCTTACACTGACCACTGTCTCCCTTCCCCCACGGTTTCTGTTGTTTGTCCCTCCCCACCACCCCAGGGGTGGGGGCTGGGGCTATGTGTCGATCATCGTGATCAGTTCCCCCTTCCTCCCCTCCTCTAACATTTACTTTCTATTTGAGCCCCATGGTAAATTTTTTTTTTTTTTTCATCTTAGCCCATAATTTTTTTTTTTCTTCTCTTTTTTAACATTTTATTAGGGGCTCATACAACTGTTATCCCAATCCATACACACATCAATTGTGTAAAGCGCATTTGTACATCGTTTCTCAACATCGTAATTTTTTTAATGCTGAGTAATCTTATCTTCAGAGTATTTCTGAAAACCTTTTATTGTGAACTAGGTGGAGGTTTATATATCATTGTTTTTGCATTCAGCAGTTTATCAAGCCTCCCAATGGCCTTCCCAGTTTCCTTAATTCCTATCTCTCTCTTACAGTATATTATTTTCTCATACACCAATACCTGTCTACTAAAGTTAAAAAAATATGGTACAATAACATCTTCAGAATTATGAATATAACAGTGAGAGGCTGATTGGAGAGAATGGAGGATAACTTTGACTCATATGCTTTAGCACTAAAAGCAATCAATAACTAAATCAACTGACCAGAGAAGGTATTGTGAAAATCAGCCTTTGCTCTTAAAGCATTTGTCTGGGGCAATAATTCCTAAGGAGCCCCTAAGAAGCTCCTAAAAAACTGAAGTCTACCTAGGCCTCGTTTAAGCAGAATGAGATTTCAAGGACTGTACCCAAAAGGTACATTTTAAGTTAAAATAGAACAAAGTGACTATAGGAGCAATAGAATCTTACCTTGAACATGTCCACCCAGATCAAAAGTTGTAAAAGTCATGCCAGCAATGGTCAGTTCTTCTGAAGCTAAGTAACAATAGAAAGTACTTTAATAACATAAAAATACCAAATCCATTCATGGACCATATTACTATTTAATATGTGATTTACATAATTGTAAACCTGGTTATTTTTTAGGAACTGATGAAAGAATGCTTTGTTGTAAGTAATCTACTTGAATTCATATTAATATAATATATATAATAATATTCAATTCTGGTTTTCACTACCCACCACAAATCCAACATTTACCGTATACACTCATGTATAAACCGAGGCTTTCAACACATTTTTAATTTATTTTTTAAAAATCATTTTATTATGGGCTCATACAACTCATCACAATCCATACATCATTTGTGTCCAGCACATTAGTACATAAGTTGACTTCATCATTCTCACAACACCTGCTTTCCAGTTGAGTCCTTGGTGTCAGCTTTCAACACATTTTTTATGCAGTATTTGTGGTAAAATTAGGTGCCTAGGCTGATATTCAGGTCAGCTTATACTTGAGTATATACGGTACTTACTTTCCTTTCTTTGCCCCTCCTGCGGATAATGTTGTTCTTTGCAATTACTTGCTGTGAATTCAAATGACTATTGCAATCTAATAATTTGTCACATAATTCCTCTTACCTGGGCAACATTCATTTATTCCTCGTGACTGGCATATCTCACAGGTAGCATTAATGATAAACACAATTATAATTTGGCCATTATTTAAAAAAAATTTTTTAAATCATTTTATTAGGGGCTCATACAACTTTTATCACAATCCATACATACATGGCCATTATTTTCTTGATGATTTTTTTGTCTTCCCTTTTATTCTGGACCTCCGATTACAGATTTGTGAGGCCCTTGCTCTGTTCGAGATGTTTGTCCAATCACTGTTCTCTGTGCTTTATTTTGTACAGTTTCTATTGCTATGACTCAGGCTCACCTGTCTTTCCTCCTCCAGCCCCTCCCAGGGAGTGGTATCACCCACTTTGGGAAACCCTGTACTAGGCCCTAGTTATCTTTTCACATTTCTCTCCCACATACCTAAATTTTATTTTGTTTTTGTTAGTGAGTGTATCTGCAACAAACATACACCAACAGACTCTACATGTACCATTTAGTGACACTGACTGCATTGTTCGTCCATTCTTACCTTCCTTTTCTTCTTTTAACCATTTTACTGGGGGCTCGTACAACTCTTATCACAATCCATACACCCATCCATTGTGTCAAGCACGTTTGTACATTTGTTGTCCTCATCATTCTCCAAACATCTCCTCTACTTGAGCCCTTGGTATCAGCTCATTTTCCTCCTCCCTCATGAACCCTTTATAATTTATAAATTATTATGATTTTGTCGTGTCTTACACTGTCCAATGTCTCCCTTAACCCACTTTTCTGTCGTCTGTCCCCCAGGGAGGGGCTTACTTTTCTAGTGGTTCCTCCCTCAGTCTCACTGCTTCTTATGACTGGTAATCTAAGCTTTCAATTTGCTATTGTCAATTTGAGCCGATGTTTTAAAAGAAACATTGTGCTCAAGGCAGATCTTTTTCTACTAGTTAAGCTAAACTATTGCTTAGTTTCAAGACGACTTCAGGGGATACTTTTAATGTAAGGTTTAAAGATGATTGCAGGACAATAATTTTAGAAGTTCATCTATCCTCCATGGCTCCAAATATTCTACCAAAACCAAACCACTGCCACTGAGTTGATTCTAACTCATGGTGACCCTCTAGGGCAGGTTAGAACTGCCCCTGTGGGTTTCTGAATCTTTAGATCATTACAGGAGTAGAAAACTGCATCCTTCCCCAGTGGAGCGGCTGGTGATTTCAAACTACTGACTTGGAGTTAGCAACCCTACACATAAACCACTATCCCACCAGGGCTTCTTTTAAAATAGCTAGTCTCTGAAAATTTGAAATTCAGATCTGTATTTCCCTCCCTTTGATCAGAATTCTTCTATGAAATCCTTAATCCAGTAAGGGTAACTGGGCACCATCTGGTTGTGATCTCATAGCAAAAGAGGCCATTGTTCATGAAGATAGATCGCTACGCATTCCATATCCTCCTCCTCCTTCCTCTATTACTCAAAGTGAACAGAACTCAATTGTTGTACCTTGGATGGCCAACTGTAAGCTTTGAAGACCGGGGGCACTATGCAACAAACAGAAGGTTGAAAAGAAAACACTGACCAATTAATTGGGACGTATAATCATGAAACTATAATCCTAAACCTCTAAGCAAAGTCCCATGAGGTATTTTGTGGCATGGAACCAGCCTTAACAGCTACCTTTTTGTTGTTTTCTCTAATAACTTCTGCCAACTCAACTTTTTACGGGAGTACAACTTATTGACAGCAATTGATTTGTCCCAACTTTTTCCCCCCACACTGATCCATATTAAAAATATAGACTAATGGCTCTGTGCTCAAATATCATTGTGGTTCTGTGCTGACTTCCACAAAACGGAACTAATTTTAATGGACTCTTCACAACCACATTCTGGGCAGAAAGAAGAGGTCCACAAAAATGACAGGTGAGAGAACTATTTCAGACACTTGTTTTTAATACTTGCTGGGAAATGAAGTTTGACATTATTTACAATTATATCAACATTCCCAGAGGCCGAATATCAGAAGCCAAAAGATGCAATATGACCACAAGAAATGTTTTCACATTTCCCAATGTGTGGTAACGTTTCAGTCACCAGAAAAAAACTCGTTCTTATCAAGCAGAATGTTTAAGTCCATTCAAAGGGTCTGGAGTATCTTTCTGGGTCTATTCACTTGTAGAGGGGAGGAGACTGGAACCAGGTTCTCATATCATACATTCTCATGCGATGCCACATTCATATGCCATCCAATTTCTTTAGGACAAATGCAGTGACTCGTAGCAGGGCCACCTAGTTAAGGAAGTTCAGTATGGAGGCGATCACGTCCTTGCACATCTTCAGTTTCATTTCCTCTGGGTCATCTTTGGCGCGAGCGAGGCCCTCGATAGGAAACATCATGGCTCAGCGTCAGTGACTGCTAGTGCTTCTCCTATCCCATCATTTTTAACCTTCTTCCCCGCCCCCACTTCCTCCTGTCACTGATAGCCACTCATAAAATTCAGTCTTCGGATTTTCTTCTTCTTCTTTTTTTAATGTGAGGTAAATGATATTTGTCCTCTTCAATTGATGTATTTCACTCGGCATAATGTCAAGACTTAATTTCTCCCACTGGCTGAGTGGTATGCCATTGTACCCATGTATCAAGTTTTGTTTATCCATTCATCTGTTGATGGGCATTTTGGTTATTTTCGCCTTTTGGCTATTTGGACTAGTACTCTAGCACTGCAACAAACACTGGTGTACAAGTTTCTTTGGGGGCCTTTCCATTCAACTCTTCTCCATATGTACCTAGGAGTAGAATTGCTAGGTCTTATGGTAATACTGTTAGGATTTATTTTTTAGGAACCACTACACCATTCTCTCCAATGGTTATAACACTTTGCATTCACACAAGCAATAGAGAAGTCTTCCAATTTCCTCAGCTCCTTGACAACATGTACTTCTTGATCTTAGCCATTCTAGTGGGAATGAAATGGTATCTCATTGGGTTTTGATTTGTACCTCTCTGATGGCTAATGATGCTGAGCATCTTTTCATGTGACTAGTGGCTATTTGATGTCCTCCTTGGTGAAATGTCCACTCAAGTCCTTTATTCATTTTATAATTGAGTTATAGTACTTTTCTTTTTGTTCTCATTTTATTGTTTTATATATATTTTGGCTTCTTATTGGATATATGGTTTGTCAAGCTATTCTCCCAGTTGGTAGTTTGTCTTTTCCTTTTTTAATGAAGTCTTTTCATGAACAAAAGTCTCTAGTTTACATGAGATCCTATTTATTTATATTATCTTCTGCTGTTTGTGATTTTTATCATGATGCTAGATAGCACATCGTTACTGTATCAGATAACTCTAATAGCAATGCCTGCATTTTCACATATCCTTTAGATGGAAATAAATATAAGTTGAAATGAAGGTTGTCTGGTAGTGTAGTAGATTATGCAATGGATTGATTACTGTAAGGTCAGCAATTCAAAACCACCTGCTACTCTGTGGAAGATGACGCTTTCTACTTCCGTAAAAAGTTACAGTCTTGAAAATACACAGGGGCAGCTCTACCCTGACCGATAGGGTCGTTATGAGTTGGAATTGACTTGACGGCAGTCAGAAAAGATGAGAGAGGTTAAAATGCGTATGAGCTAGAGGAAGGTTGTGCGACTTGTACTTCAGTGCCTAAAGCAATGTCTGATATAAAGTAGGTGCTCATAAACATTGCTGATTAAATGAAAGAGCAACATCAAAAGATTTTTAAAAGGACTTCCACCTACTATAAGCCCACTCTGTGGTCTCTTCCAATTCTGCCGATTTGCAGACAAATTTATACAGGCAACTTCATTCACCATGATCCATTTTTTCTTAAACAGTATTTTCTTGTGTCAGAATCTTATTTGCCAAGCCCCTTATTTACCAAGCTCCCTTCTCCTAATATAAAAAAAGATTTATCAATTTTATGAAATCTTCCATTTTTAAACTAATAGTTTTATAGGTAAAATGATACTTTTAAGTTGTTTTATTCTCTTCTGTGATCTTTGAACATTTAATAAACTAAATAACTAGTATTTTCACCCAGATTATAATTTTATACTCATCACTAAGGAGCTTTAGTAGCATAATGGTTAAGTACGTGGCTGCTAATCAAAAGGTGGCGGTTCAAAATCCATGGCACTATGGCCCCTAAAGATGGTGAAGAGTCCAGAGAACCCAATGGGGCAGTTCCCAATGGGGCAGTCAGGGTGAGACCTGACTCAATAGCAAATAACATTAAAGTCACACTCATTATTTCAGAATTAATCTGTAGATGAACTCATCTTTAAAATTCTAGATCTACTTGTTTCATCAGCTTTTCACTAGTTATAGCAGGGTCACAGGTATTTGTAAATTAGGCTACTACCTCTAACAATCTTGTCACCTGAACTTTAAGTCTACCTTTTCACACAGTACACATTTATACAACCTTATATAGCGTCGGGTTATATAAACAAGGTAACGATGACTATTTTTAGACTGTATTACAATCCTTGAAACATAAACTCTTTAATTCCTCTAGTTGGAGAGGGGAGTAAAATTCCTCTAGCTGGAGAGGGGTAGCATTAGCTGATAAAAAGGTATGGGTATTATTTCAAAATTTAAATATAGTCCGTAGGACTGGTGTTACCTACCAGTTAGTATGCTATTTAAAAAATGGATCGAATCACTAGATCATACATAATTTATCTGCCAAAAGACTTCTGGATAGTGCTTATGAATTAGTTCCACTTGATAAGGTGCACCACTACATGGGGGAATATACTTACTGGGATGTAACGTTGGAACATGCTGTCCAAGTCTGTCATCTTTTAGCATGTGTAGAAGTGTTGTTTTTCCTGCATTGTCCAATCCAAGAAATACCAATTTACCAGTTTTCTTATATAATCCTGTAGAGTAAAAGGCAGGAATTATTATCATCTTACAGATACGGAAATCAGGCTATGGCAGAAAAAAATAATTTGCCCAAGGTTATATAACTTATAAGGGATGCAGTGAGTAAATGAACTTAAATCTCTGTAATTTTAAAGCCTACTTTCTTATCTACTGGGTTCTATATGAAGAGAGTCTACACAAATGCCACTGTTGGTAGGTGCCTTCGGGTCACTTCTGACTCACTGCAACCATATTTACAACAGAACGCAACACTGCCTGGTCCTCCATCATCCTCACAATCGCTGCTATGTCCAGCATTCTAGCCACTATGTCAGTCCATCTCATTGAGGTGCTTCCTCCTTTTGGCTGGCCCTCTACTTTTCCAAGCATCATAGCCTTCTTTAGTGCACTATTATATAACAGAATAAAATGGGATAACTATAGAGAAGAAAGGACCAACATTACCTAAAAACTGCAGCACACTGCTGAAACCGCTGTAAATCCAGTCAAAGATGAAGGACATATCCAAATCTTACAGGGTCTGCAAAAGGAAGAGTTTTTTTCATTTAGTAGTCAACATTAAATATCAGTACACATTAAAAGCCAACAACATTGAACAACAACTTTTTGAATAAATAATCCTAGACCAATCTTACTACAAAGATTTAAACACCCTTATCCAGGTTGCTCTAACCTGATCTACGTAAATGTATAAAAAGCAAAATGCTACTTAAATTCTAACCAGTGACTATTCTTTGCCCATCAAAAACGAAAAAGGTAAGTGGCCCTGTCAGTGCAGGATAAAATGATATAAATCTTTTTTGAAATCAATTTGGTAATATTTGTTGATACCTTTTGACCCAACAATTCCACTCTTAGAAACCACCCTGAAAAAGGAAATGATGTATGCACAAAGATATGTAAAATTTTGGAAATAATCTATGTTCAACAATAAATTAAATACAGTACATATGGCTCGAGGACTATTTTTCAAAAGCTTGCTATTGTCACTAAGCTCTCAAGGCATAGTTAAGTTCACCACTTACTTGCCATGTGCCTTGATAAATTAATAGAAATCATACAGAAAACCTGCTGATTTCTCCCTGATTATGGGGGGCAGGGAATCTGAGGGAAAAAACTTCTTGGAAAAAGAAAGGTCACACATACAAAAATATACTTTTAGATAAATGAAATTCATTTTCTAGAGGTGAACGAAAGAACTTAAACTTGGACCAAGGGTGGTGGTGGGAACTTGAGGAGCTGTGCTATCTTTGACACTCTTTAGCCAACTCTGACACACACACAACACTGCTTTTTTCTCACTCTAGTGACCTGCCAAGATTGACTCATGGGTCCCCACACTCACAATTCCTAGAGGATGTGGTGTAACCACACTGCCTTGAACGTGAGGCAGAAAAAGAAGGGAGCGTATCATGTCACTGTCTCCAGTTTGTAAGAGATCCCTGGATCCTAGAAATAGCCTCTTCTCACCTTCCCTGCACTCACTTGAACTAACATAAGCAGACTTTTGTTTGGGCAGCCAGTCGAATGCTGACTGAGGCAGATGAGATTGGCAAATTAGAAATTGTTTCATGTGTCATTATGAGAGCCACAACAGTGGCTCCACACACACACACACACACACACACAGAAGAATCTAACACCTTGGAAGTTCCTGTTTTCTTTCAGCTGAAAATTATACCACCCACCCTCTATTAAGATTTTAGGTTGTGTAGAAATTGAAACTTAAAGCCAGTGAGAATATACATACAAGTGGCTTATCTTCCCTGGAGATTTGAAGGTATGACACACATGGGGGCTTTAAAAACTTCATGAAACAATGGACTTAAAATGTATTGGCATTTTCCTACAAACGTTTTGAAGCCTCCGCGTATGATTTTCAAAGAGAATCATAACCTTTACTGTGCAGAACTGAAGAAAGCAGCAGTGTACGGTGAGAAACTTCCATCAATACCCGGTCACTAAACGTTTTCTCGACGTGAACTCAGGCTTTCTTTGCTTCCCGCAGGAACCACCTAGCCAAGAAAGTTCGGGTTGCCACATTCCTACACTACTACCATGTTAACCGCAGAATTTGACGTAAGCCACCTTGTCCACTACCTCCAGAACTGCCTCACCAACACACCATCTCGGACAGAAGGCATCAGTCTAGTCCGGGAGACTGTATCTCTGTTTGTCAGAGTGTGTGTGTCCTGATTGAGAAATGAATGGGCTAGGTGGAGACAGTGAGGAGAGATTACTCTTTTAAAAAGTTTGAAATTGAGGGAGGGGAGATTGCCTTCTTTCTGGAAAGATAAAGCTAGAGTATGCTGATAGGCTGGAGGAGAGAGTGGGAAGGGAGAAGTTAACTAGAGGAAGAAAATAAAACCAAACTCCCTGCCATGAGTCAACACTGACCTATAGTGACCCTATTGGATACAGGGTAGAACTGCCCCTGGGGGTTTCTGAGACTGTAACTGTTCACAGGCGTAGAAAGCCCTGTCGTTCTCTGATGGTTTCAAACTGCTCACTTTGCAGCCCAGCGCATAACCACTATGCCACCAAAGCTCCTTAACTAGAGGAAGAGAGAGAATTAGCCAAATGGAGGAACGGGGACTCAAAGGGAGGCTGGATGGATAGAGACTGCTACCCTCCCTCTATGGTTTAAAGAAAGGAGGCCAGGAAAAGTGTAGTGGAGGTGGCACGACTGACTGAAATGGTGAAGAAAGAAGACAGAGAAATCTTCCTTAAAGCAAAAGGTTGCTATAAAAGAGCCAAAGGCTGGCTCAGCTGGCCATGAAAAACAAGCACGGGGCTGAAAGGGAGAAAGGAGACAAGCTGAGAGTAGAGCAGACAGGGATGAAGTAATTTGACCTGACTGGGTAAAGGTAATGTATAGAGGTGGCAGAAAAGACCTGGGGGGAGAGGACAAAGGTTTTAAACCTTGAAGATGCAGTAAAAGGGTGAGAAAGATGGGAGGTGGTTCAGAAGGATGCTAGCAATTGAGAGCTTGTGGGGTTCAAGCATCCAAGAAAGGATCAAGCCTACATGGTAGCACAAGCTCGAAAGTCTGGAAATGAAAGCTATAGAAGTTGGACTTCAGGGTACCCTGTCCACCCAGAGAAGCAGTGGGAACACTGAGAGGAGCAGGGGCCATTACTACACAAAACAAGACTGTGAATCATGTAGCAAAGTGCTCACTCCAGTGGCAAAGTCCTCACTGATGTGTCTACTGGCAAGTGATAATCACGAGGACTAATGGAATGGGTGAGCCTGGAGGAAAAAGGATCATTACCATCTGTCCTAACAGAAATAATCTACTGGCCGATAAGGGGAAACCTTACTTTACAAGACACTAAGAAAAATTTACATTTTTCAAGGAGCCTTAAAACAAACTAGCAGTCTTTAAAAACAATTTTTTTTTTAATGTAGAGGTAAAAGTGCCCAACTAAGAATAAAAGTTACTTAGACAAACAGATATCTGAGCCCTGAGAACAGGTTACACAACACCATGAACACACTATTAAGACATGTGAAGAGCAAAGGTCGAAAACAAGGAAACACACACGTCAGCAGATTTATTTATTGCATGAACACCAAACAGGAAAAGTCCCTATACAGATTAGAAAAATGATCTACTCATATAACACAAAAATCGGTGCACTGGAACATGCCATTTCAGTTAACAATGCCCTTCCTAAAGCCTTGCCCTATTTAAACAGCTTACACTGATGATTCCATTTATATGAAACCTCCACAGAAGCAAACTCTTAGAGAAGGCAGATTAGGAGTTGTCAGAGAGTGGGGAGAGGAAAAACTGGGGAGTGATGCTACTAGTCATGGAGTGTCTTTCTGGGATGAAAAAACGCTCTGAAAATGCATAGTGGTGAGGGTGGCACATTTTGAACATTTTAAAAATAAGGAATTATATGCTATGAAAAGTAATTGTGATATATGTTATATCTCTTAATAAAAGTGTCATTTAAAATTAAAGAAAAATACATTTTAAAACAAATTTACTTTTAAGATTTTCAATGGATTATACAAGCAACAGACAAAGCAGAACCATTTAGGTATGAACTTTAGAGGACATACATAAGAAAAATACACATAAACTAGTCTAAAGAGGCAATATGAAATCAGACTGTCATTAAAAAGAACCAATCTACTAAGAACTTTGGAAAACAAAGCATGGTACAGCCCCATACCTCCTATTGTTCCCAGAGTAAAGAAGTATCTGGATTTACAATATACCTTTTTGAAATTCTGTTACTTCACTCTAGGAGAAGTCCTTTCTAGCGCCATGTGTTCTTCCACTTACAGAAACTAGACTGCAAGGTAGGAAGAAGGACTTGATATGCTAATGTATATGGAAACACTTTTGAATACTACACTAACAAAGGTATTTTAACTCATTGAGACCAAACTAAATGTAATTGAAATAGACTTTAAACAAAGACTTTAAGTGCCAACTGGAACATTAACTTCAATATTTAACAACTTGTTACATGAAAGTTTTTTAGGATGCCCCAACTTTACTTTAAAAATGAGTCATCATTGTTGATCACCAGAAAAGGTACTAGGATAGTATCCTTCAAATGCAGGTAAAGAAATTTCACTCGACGAGAACACCTATCGGTTTCTACTAAATTGTGTGGGACATATGATCAAAACATATTTATGCTTTATAAAACTAATATATAGGATAAATACTGTAAGCTAATTTAGGAATTATGTCACCATCACCACCACCACCAAATTCTGATAGTACTCGGAGTATAATGAAGACCAAAGTATGTTTGGTTGTTTTGAACAATTTCAGTAAGGTCCTATGTAATACTAAGAATAAGTGTAATACTGAATGTTTCAGGCAATGTTGCTTTACAAATATTCTCTAAAATTATTAGATTTTTTGGGTAGACTTTAAAGTTTTGAAACATGATACAAATGTTAAAACTCAAGAAAATATTTTAGGTTTGAACATATGACAATGATAATACTGGAATTAGGTCTTTCAGGTCATATAATCAATAAAAAAGTATATGGTCAGGTTTCCTTTAAGTAAAAGTGAGGACACTCAATCATCATTAAAAAAAAAGACGGTTAAAGCCATAACAAGTATAAACAGTTGTATTATTTTAAAGAAGAAAAGGAAAAAAGATCTTTATAAAAATGTGTATCTAAATTTGCCAATACTGACAAAAGATGAAAACTCACCTAGGCAATGACAAATTCAATCCTTCAAATACTTTTGCTACACACAAAGAAAAGAAACTTTTCAACACTGATTTTAAGATTATTTGCTTAGTAATGGCTTGCAGAGAAATCATTTACTGTACATGCATTTCAGTCAAGTGTACATGTGCTCTTAAAGAAATTGCCAGTTCCCCACTACCATCGAGTCAATTCCGACCCTAGGGCAGGGTGGAAGTGCTCCTCGGGGGTTTCCCAGAGGACAGATCTTTACTGGAAGAGCCTGCCTCATCTCTCTCCAACACTTAATGAAAAGGGAGGAGAAATCATGAATCATTACTCAATAATTCTGATTTGTAAGCTTGAAATGAGGTGGCACAGATTTTCATACCTGATAATCTAATCTTACTGTCTCAACTCCTGCTTGATTTTATCCTCTAGTACAATAATGTAAAGCAAAACCAAAACCAAACCAAACTCGCTGCCATGGAGTTGATACTGATTTATAGAGCCCCCACAGGACAGGGCAGAACTGGCCCTGTGTCACTGTAACTCTTTACCAGAATAGAAAGCCCCACCTTTCTCCCTAGGAGCAGCTAGTGGTTTCGAACTGTTGACCTTACAGATAAAGCCCAAAGTGTAACCACTGCAGGAACAAGGCTAATGGAATGTTAAAATGGGCTTAGTTAAACTGCTAATTTCAATTACCAACAATGCTTCTCTAACACGCCTAGAACAAAGAGCAAATTATCCTTTTCTGAAAACTCAGAACACAGCAGTTTACTATCTCAAGTTCAAAATATTTTGGTGACAAGGCAAATCCAATAAAAGGTACTATATTAGACATAGACATTGTTTTAAGAGATCAGCACCAATAGTTGATAATTGAAAATCTGTCATTTGTAAAATGGCCTACACGACCTTGTTATTTGATTACTAGGTGCACAGCTAGTCTCTCATAGTCAATGATAGTCATTAAATATTCCTTTCCTTTCCTTCTTTGAGTTAATTTGCTTCAATGAGACTTACTTAGCTGATATGTCAACATCGAATGTAAGGCGTTCTTCAGAACAAAGCACTTAGTAATACTGAGCTTGATATAAGAACATGAAAACAAACAATTCCGGGTATAAATTTTCAAGTTAAAACAATTTCTTCACCCTAAGCTGCTCAATGTACCAAATATACATTGGTACCCAAAGTACTAAATTCTGACAAAGTTGGGTTCTTTTAGTCAACGATGTCAGCGTTTTAGCCCTTTTTATTTTTGATTTTATTTCCTCTCTCGTTGGAAAATCCTGAACACTTTGGAAATCGTAACCATCTCTTCCCACGGACTATCTCTTCCCACTCAACGGAGATGTGGGGTACAGGAATCTGTTAGGTAATACTAGTAAGAAAACTCAATCCCACGATGAAATGGAAAAGCTGAAAACAGCACGCCCTGTCACCGCCTCTGGGGTTGTCAGCGACCCCCACCGATCCAGGTGAGGAAACTGAGGCCCCGGCGAAGGCGCCTTAGGGTCGTCCTGTTCCTTCCTCCAGTGACCCGGCGGCGGCGGCGGCGCCCAGCCCCGAGAGCCGTCCGAGAGGCCCCCGCGGGCACGAAGGGACCCGGCCCCCGGCCGCCGCCGG